CTTTAAGGGCAGCCCCACGTAGAGAGCGTTGCAGTAGTCAAGGCGGGATGTGACCAGAGCGGGATGTGACCAATAATAGTTTTATATTCATACCCTGCCTCCATCTCCCCAAAGGGATTTAGGGCAGCTTACAAAGGGACCAGCCCAGAGAGCACAGAATTAAAAACATAACACAATAAGATAAAATCAAAACAAAATGAAATAAAAAAAACCCAGGACCAAGAGAAAATACTGTGTTTTCTGGTGGTCTTTGGTGACCCCTCTAATATCTCCCTCGTGACCCACCCAGGGGTCCCGACCCCCAGGTTGAGAAATGCTGCACTAGGCATTCACCATTGCACAAGGGAACAATAAGAACACACTTTGGCTAAACCAGGACTGAGGTCCAACAGGTTGCAGGTTCGAATCCAGGAAGAGCGTGGATGAGCTGCCTCTATCAGCTCTAGCTCCCCATTGCGGGCACATAAGAGAAGCCTCCTACAAGGATGATAAAACATCAAAACATCTGGGCATCCCCTGAGCAACATCCTTGCAGACGGACAATTCTCTCACACCAGAAGCAACTTGCAGTTTCTCAAGATGCTCCTGACACATGAAAAAAAACTTGGAAGACAAGTGAAATGGAGCTGATTTAAGTCATGAATGCATGAGATAGTTCCTCTGCCATTCTCTTCTTTAATTGCTATTAACAGACTAATGATAATCTCTATACAACCTATGATGAGGAAAACCTGGCTGAATGTATTATTGAGTTTTTTGGAGCTGGAACTGAGACAACAGCTGTGACCCTGAAGTGGGCAATACTTCTGATGGCAGTTCACCCAGAAATCCAAGGTCGGTTTCTTAACAAGAGTGTTTATTCAGGGTTGATCAATGGGGCCCTATGCTCACACTCCTGGGTATCTAAAATACATTTCTCTTGCCCACCATTTCCCCTAGGTAAAATCCAGAAGGAGATCGAAGATGTTTTTGATGCTTCTTGCTCTATCTGCTATCAAGACCGGAAAAAACTGCCCTACACCAATGCTGTGATTCACGAGATCCAGCGTGCAAAATATGCCTTTTTATTGGGGGTTCCCAGACAAAATGTGAAGGATGTGACCATACATGGTTCATTCATTCCAAAGGTAAAACTATACTTTCTGTAAAAGGTAAAGGTTTTCCCCTGATATTAAGTCTAGCCGTGTCCGACTTTGGGGGTTAGAGCTCATCTCCATTTCTAAGCCAAAGAGTTGGCGTTGTCCATAGACACCTCCAAGGTGATGTGGCCAGCAGGACTGCATGGGGCACCGTTACCTCCCCGCCAGAGCGGTGCTTATTGATCTACTCACATTTGCAGGTTTCGAACTTCTAGGTTGGCAGAAGCTGGGGCTAACAGTGGGAGCTCACCCGCTCCCCGGATTCGAACCTGCAACCTTTCGATCAGCAAGTTTAGCAGCTTAACATTTTAACCCACTGTGCCACTGGGGGCTCCAATACGTTCTGTAGTTCAAGACTATCTCAGACCCAGAGCTGCATTTTTCAGTAATTGTTCAGATTAACTTCACAATTCAGCAGCAGATCAGTTGCACAACTTCAGCGCTTTCCAGTAGCTTCTTCCTGCACAGTATTTTCAGTCAACTGCTCCCACAACCTGCAGTCACTCTCGAATCCTTTACAGACACTTGAGCACATGCCCGGCCATTGTCAGTTTTACCATTGTCTTTCCCCCAATCTAGATGATATTACAAACTTACCACACCACACAGTTATATCTTGTCTTAGCAGACAGGTTCTTTAATTACATATAGCCTTCGACGAACAACATCACAGCACAAGGAGAAATATACACTGTACATGACTTCCTTATATACAATTCTATACAATTACACATAGCAATCTCTGATTGGTTCCCAACTCATTAACTTAATTCAGACCCAGGATTACATCATTCACAATCACCTGGAGTAGGCCAGAACACATTCCCCAAATGATTCCCTATATACAGTTAATGCATGACTCAGCATTTCCAATAGAAGCCCATAAGCAGTGCATGACTCAGCTATATTACATTACAATACATTGTAAAACCTGACAGTAATGTACATGGCAAAGTCAGTTTTCTGGTAGTACTTCATCTTTGCATCTAATATCCTTCCCTCCAATGAGCAGTCAGGCTTTATTTCCTGGCTGAATCCTATACTGTGCGCATGAGATGTAAATCTACACTCCTAGTTACAGTGTGATCATGCTACGCAAGCCTTCTGCTGCATGCCAGCTCTGAGCTGCCAGTTGTGTGCCTACCAATACCCTTTTTTGCTTTGTTCTGCAAGGGAAGATATGCAGTGGCTATGTCTATAATCCCAGTTAATCAACCAGTATGCTAAAGGTACTGTTGAGTAGTTGCTATCAATTAGTCAGGAATGCAAATCTGTTTGTGCAACACTTATGGAACTGAGAACTCAATATGGAAAATAGACAGTGGCCCAAATACAAGCAGTCCCCGAGTTACGAATAAGATTGGTTCTGTACCTTTGTTCTTAAGTTGAATTTGCATGTAAGTTGTAACTGGTGTATTTTTAAAGTCAAACTCCAAATAGATAGATAGATAGATAGATAGATAGATAGATAGATAGATAGATAGATAGATAGATAGATAGATACTTAGGTGATCCCTCATTGGCCAAGTAGGATAGTCTTCCAGGAGCAGTATTCTGGTGGCTTTGTAGGTGACTGTGGAGCCCTATTCATGATCTGTATCTTCTCACACAGTGAGGGCATTGGTTTCTAGGTGGAAGGCAGTCTTGGTCAGGGTTGGCTTGATGCGCCTTCCTCTTGGCACGTTTCTCTCTTTCACCCTCCATTCGGGCCTCTTCAAATTCTGCAGCACTGATGGTCACAGCTGACCTCCAGCTGGAGTGCTCAAGGGGCTTCCTAGTTCTCAGTGTCTATGCCAGAGTTTTTAAGGTTGGCTTTGAACCCATCTTTAAATCTCTTTTCCTGTCCACCAACATTCGGTTTTCCATTCTTTAGTTCAGAATAGAGCAATTGTTTTGGGAGATGGTGGTTGGGCATCCGGACAACGTGGCCGGTCCAGCGGAGTTGATAGTGGAGGACCATCGCTTCAATGCTGGTGGTCTTTACTCTTTGTCCGCCTGTCTTCCCAAGAGATTTGCAGGATTTTTCAGAGGCAACGTTGAATCGTTCCAGACAGACAGACAGACGGACAGGCAGACAAAGCTGTGACTAGCATAGGAAGGGATTGACACCCCTGTGGTGGTTGTTTTGCTGTCTGTGCACCTGTTCAGAAGATTTTGCCTCACTTTCTGTCCCTTTGAGAATTGGATTTTGAAAAATGTGGCTTGTTGTGGAAACAAGAATTAGTGATAAAACTTCAGCTGAGACACTTATTCTCCATGATAATGACTCTGGAGAACAAGCCCTATGAGGAGCAGTTTAAAGAGCTGGTAATGTTTACCCTGCAGAAGAGAAGGTTGAGAGGAGACATGATGAGAGCCATGAATAAATATGTGAGGAGAAGTCATAGAGAGGAGGGAGGGAGCTTGTTTTCTGCTGCCCTGGAGACTAGGAAGCAATGGAACAATGGCTTCAAACTACAGGAAAGGAGATTCCACCTGAACATTAGGAAGGACTTCCTGACTGTGAGAGCTGTTCAGCTTCTCTGCCCCGGAGTGTGGTGGAGGCTCCTTCTTTGGAGAGCAGAGGCTGGATGACCATCTGTCAGGGGTGCTTTGAATGCAGTGTTCTGCTTCTTGACATGGAGTTGGACTGGATGGCCCACAAGGTCTCTTCCAACTCTAGGATCCTCGAGTGCTAAAGTCTGCACCTAAACTGCAGCTACGTTGAAGGAACATCAAGGAGATTACCCCAGACAAGTTTTAAAGACTGAATTATAAATCTCCGATGTCGCATATATAGCAAAGTTTGTTTAAGTATCATTTGTGCTAGGAGAGGACAAATATGAACTGTTCTATTCTATGTGCATTTTGAGCCAATTCTTTCTTGCAGGGCACCTTTATCATGCCGGATCTGCGCTCTGTTCTTCTTGATCCCAAGCAATGGGAGACCCCCAAAGAATTCAACCCGCAACATTTCTTGGACAAAGATGGAAAATTTTTGGCCAGAGAGGCGTTTCTTGCTTTTGGGGAAGGTAAATGCAGAAGAGATTTATAACTATGTTTACAGAGTCTTCTCAACACAACATAAAGGGAGGTTGGTGTTATATAGTAAAGGCACCGGGATTGTGGCGCAGCTGGGTGAGTGTCAGCTGCGTTAAGATCACTCTGACCAAAAGGTCATAAGTTCAAAGCCAGCCTGGGTTGGAGTGGGCTTCCAACCAATTGTGTAGCCTGTTGTCGACCTTTGCAACCCGAAAGACAGTTGCATCTGTCAGGTAGGAAAATTAGGTACCACCTTAAAGTGTGGGGAGGCTAAATTAACTAATTTATGAGGCCATAAAAAAAAGACTCCAGCAAGCACCCCAGCAAAAAGCATGCGGGGAATGCGGAAGTACTTCATCAGCGTCGCAGATGGACGATGAAAGCGACAGCTTCCCTGGCGGCCAGAAAAAGTTAAATAGCCTCTGTGTATGTCTGTATACGTTGTATGTCAAATTGGCATTGAATGTTTGCCATATATGTGTACACTGTAATCCACCCTGAGTCCCCTGCGGGGTGAGAAGGACGGAATATAAAAGCTGTAAATAAATAAATAAAGGTTTCCCTTGACATTAAATCTAGTCGAGAGATGGAGATGGGGCTCATCTCCATTTCTAAGCTGAAGAGCTGGCGTTGTCCATAGACGCCTCCAAGGTCATGTAGCCAGCATGACTGCATGGAGCACTGTTACCTTCCCACTGGAGAGGTACTTATTGATGCACTCACATTTGCCTGTTTTCAAACTGCTAGGTTGGCAGAAGCTGGGTCTAACAGCGGGAGCTCACCCTGCACCCTAGATTTGAATCATCAACCTTTCGATCAGCAAGTTCAGCAGCTCAGCAGTTTATCCCACTGCGCCACTGGGGATATTACAAGTGCTATATCTGAATAGGCTATATTCAAATATAAGTAATAGGTGTGTAACCAGAGCTATTTTTACAGCCTTATGTGATAATGTCCCAATCTTGCTTTTTTCAGACTACAGGTTTTAGACTTTATGGATCAGTAGCCATTCTGGTAGCTCCTAGGAACTGTACATTTCCCAAGGTCTAATCAAAACCTGTGGCTGGTTGGAAAATAACTGGAATAAGTGATCACTCACTTGAACTTATCCTCTCATGTTTCCTCCACAGGGGCTCGAGTGTGTTTGGGAGAGCAGCTAGCAAGAATTGAACTCTTCATCTTCTTCACATGCTTGTTGAGGTCATTCAGCTTCCAACTACCACCAGGAGTGAAAAAACTCAATACGAACCCTGCGGTTGGGTTGACGATGCACCCACGTCCTTATAAACTCTGTGCTGTTCCCCGCTGCAACACATCGTAGCCCTTAAAATTCGTGAAACAAACGGTAAACAAACGGGGAGGAAAAACCGGGATATCCCAGAACTCAGCTTCTCAAAAAAGGAAAGCAGGAGCAAAACTGGCGATGGCAATAGCGTAGTTAAACAGTCCTAGGTCAAACACGGAGAGAGGCAGCAAACGAAGTCCAGAAGGCAAATGGCGTGGTCCAGAAACATTCCGTAGTCAAGGGACAAGACGAAGTCACTCACGTAGTCCAATCCAGAGTTGAGGCACACAAAGACACGATAGCTGTATTCCCAGGACCCAAACGGAGGTAAGGCAGCACAAAACACCCGATACAACGCTTTGTCCTCTGCAAAACTACCCATCCCAAAGCCCTCATTTTATCAGCAGTCGCTATCACTGGATTGGCTCTCATCACTTACACCTGGATCATTATCCTCAGCTGTGACCTCATTACTATGCCAGCGCTGCCAACGTTGATCTTGTCCAGAATCCTCCCAAGAAGTACCTGCCTGCCATGTATCATGAAACCCCTCGAATTCATCACTAGACGTGGGCTGTGTGCATATGTCCTGAATTTCCCTAACCCGAGTCCAGTCCAGCCCCTCTTCCATATTCCCATCATTGGATCCCTATTCATCCGAACTGCAATTGTCAGCTACGTCTTTAAGACGCTTGCTCATTACTTCTTCATCACTGTCAGTCTCACTGGCAAAACGTTTTACTCCCCTGTAATCCAGTTCCTCCAAGTCCTCGGGTCCAAACCTTGCAAAGTCCTCAGACTCACTGGGCGCCATGATAACATCCCTAATGCGTTTTAGCTGACGCTGTTCCTCCTCCAACTCTGCATCGCTCCTTCTCCTCTCACACCCACTAGTAGGTTCACTGCCAGGACGCTGAGTTACAACACCACTAGTCATTTGTTATGTATATAATTGCTTACTGTATTGTATATGTGTATTGGTTTGCATTTTACTTTAACTGTATTGTCGAAGGCTTTCATGGTCGGAATCACTGGGTTATTATAGGGGTTTGTTTTCAGCCTGATAGACATCCGAATACTTCTCCAGTTCAGCATGAAAGGAAGCTGGATGAAAAATCTCCAAGCCCTACAGAGAGAAGACATCTTCAGCTTATGGTGCAGACGCACTGGTGCAGCAAAAGGCTATGTGCCTGCTTCTGTTAGATGTGCTCTTTAATTACCATCATACATTTGGACTTGGGGTGATCCGAGTGTTGTTAAAAATAAGCAACCATCTCCCTGAAAGCAAGCCCAAACCCTTGGATTGCCTGATGACTTAGGTAAAGGTAGTCCCCTGACATTAAGTCCAGTCATGTCTGACTCTGGGGTGTGGTGATCATCTCCATTTCTAAGCCGAAGAGCCAGCATTGTCCGTAAACACTTCCAAGGTCATGTGGCCGGCATGACTGCATGGAGCGCCGTTACCTTCCCGCCGGAGCAGTACGTATTGATCTACTCACATTTGCATGTTTTCGAACTGCTAGGTTGGCAGAAGCTAGGGCTGACAGCGGAAGCTCATGCCGCTCCCCGGAATCGAACCTGCGACCTTTCGATCAACAAGCTCAGCAGCTCAGTGCTTTAACCCACTGCGCCACCGGGGGCTCCTGATGACTTAGGGTCACTGTAAGTTGGAAATGACTTCAAGGCACTCAACAACAAGCGTGCTTCTAGCTCTGTGGTTCTCAAACGGGGTCGGAACTCCTGGGGAGGTCACGAGGGGGTGTTATAGGGGTTGCCAAAGACTATCCGAAAACATTCCCTGTTGGTCATGGGGTTTCTGTGTGGGAAGTTTGGATCAGTTCTATCATTATTGGGGTTCAGAATGCTATTTGATTTGTTAATGAACTATAAATCCCAGCAATTACAACTATAAAATGTCAAGATCTATTTTTCCAAAACTCAACCAGTGTTCACATTTGGGCATGTTGAGTATTTATGTCAAGTTTGGTCCATATCCATCATTGTTTGAGACCACAGTGCTCTCTGGATGTAGGTGAACTACAACTCCAAAACTCAAGGTCAGTGCCCATCAAATCCTTCCAGTATTTTCTGTTGGTCATGGGAGTTTTGTGTGCCAAGATTGATTCAATTCCATCATTGGTAGAGTTCGGAATGCTTTGACTGTAGGTAAACTATTAATCCCAGCGACTACAACTCCCAAATGACAAAATCAATCATGCCACAATGCCACCAGTATTCAAATTTGGGTGTATCAGGAATTTGTGCCAAATTTGGTGCAGTGAATAAAAATATATCCTGCATATCAGATATCGACATTACAATTCATAACAGTAGCAAAATTACAGTTATGAAGTAGCAACAAAATAATTTTATGGTTGAGGGTCACCACAACATGAGGAACTGTATTAAGGGGTTGCGGCAATAGGAAGGTTGAGAAACACTGTTGTAGCTGAAAGGACTAAAATACCCAGAAGACTACTGTAGAGGAAAGAGGGGTGTAGTGTGGTTGGAATTCAGAACAGAGAAAAGATGGGTATTCTTGGAAAATATGTTCAGATTCTTTCTAAGCCCTGTTGAATTCAAGGAGACTGAAATCTGAGCAAATACATTTTGGATGGTGCTGTTATTCGAAAGACTTGATTAGGGAGCCTTCACAAAATTATTCTCAGTTTTTGTTGTCGTTCTAATCCATCCAAACATTTTACAAGTGGTGACATTACACCATAGCATTCAATTTCTTTAGTAAAGAAATGTCACATTGTCCACATTTGATTTACTTCTGTCGCAACCACAACCGGGGTGGCAAGGTATTTCCCCATAAAGCACACCTTACAGTGATAGAAGGTTTATACAGTTTCTGTCCAGTCATGTAAATTGCTATTCTTGTATTGCCGCCAGCTCTGTTTGCATCATGTTGAGATGAATTCATAGCAAGCAACTCCTTTTGTTTTGACAGTCTTTATGTTCAGGCTAATCACAATGGAAATAAAATGACATCTAGCATAACAGGAAGAGAGGGAAGGAGAATCAGCTCAGGCAGATCACAGAAGGATAACATTTTTAATTTTAGAAATAGAACAGGAAATATTCATATCACCAGTCTGCTATCGTACATTTACTACAGCAGAAAAAGTTTGCATTTCGTTGTATTTCCAATCAACCAGAACAAAATCACCAAAACAATAGAACTTGTATAAGTTCTAATTTGCTAAATTCCTAGGATTCCAAGTATGCTGACAATTGTGCCATTGCCGGTCAAGCAGGGAGATTTGAAATGGTTGAACAAGAGCTCTTTGAAGCTTTAGGTGCTCTTACTGCCTATTACAGGGGAAACCAACTGATGCCTAACCCATCTAAAATGCAGATGTGTGCTTTTCATCTTAAGAATAGACAAGTATCTTGAGTTCTGAGGATTACCTGGGTAGGAATCCCACTGGAGCATTGCAGCACACCCCACTAATAATAATAATAATAATAATAATAATAATTAATAATAATAATAATAGTCGACAACAGATCCCAAATGTAGACTCTGCAAGGAAGCAGATGAAACAATAGATCACATCCTCAGCTCCTGCAAGAAGATCACGCAGACAGACTACAAGCAGAGGCATAATACCATTGCTCAGATGATTCATTGGAACTTGTGCCACAATTTTGTGCCTTTTCTGTGGTGGTCCCTCGGCTGTGGAACGCCCTTCCCATGGAGGTAAGATCAGCCCCCTCGCTAATGGTGTTCCGAAGGAGATTAAAAACTTGGATGTTCGAACAGGCATTTGGTTAATCAGTGCAATGAATGTGACGATTACAGGAATGGAAATATGGACGATGAATTTGGATCATGATTCTAATGATGAGAAGCATTGTGTTGTTATTGTTGTGTAATACTGTATATTGTGCTTCTGTGTTTTAAATTGTATATCGTGATTTATTTTACCCTTGTTGTAAACCGCGTTGAGTCGCCGGTTAGGCTGAGAAACTGCGGTATACAAGTAAAGTAAATAAATAAATAAATAAATAATTATCATCTGCCTGTGACAATGAAATGGTGGAATCACAAACCAGAAAAAGTTACAGAGAATGAACACGCCAAACTCCTCTGGGACTTCCGGATTCAGACAGACAGAGTTTTGGAGCATAATATTCCTGACCTCACAATCGTGTTAAAAAACTAAGTATGGATCGTCGATGTTGCAATCCCAGGTGACCGCAGGATTGCAGAGAAACAACTGGAAAAGCTGACAGGATATGAGGATTTAAAGATTGAACTGCAAAGACTCTGGCACAAACCAGTAAAGGTGGTCCCAGTGGTGATCAGCACATGGTGCAATGCCTAAAAACCTTGGCCTTCACTTAAACACAATCGGCGCTGAAAAATTACCACCTGCCAGCTGCAGAAGGCCACCTTACTGGGATCTGCACGCATTATTCGCCGATACATCACACAGTCCTAGACACTTGGGAAGTGTCTGACGTGTGATCCAATACAACAGCCAGCAGAGTATCTGTTGTGGCTCATCTTGTTGTGTTTCAAATAATAATAATAACAACTTTATTTTTATACCCCACCTCCTACTCCCCGAAAGGGACTCGGGGCAGCTTACAAAGGGACAAGAATGCAGATAAAACCAATATAGAAAATACAATCAACAACAAATCAAAAAATCCATAGAACATCATTATCAAATCAACAACATCATAAAAACAGTAAAAACAGTATCAAAGCTGAGCAACAATTGCTGGGTTCGGGTTCATAATTCCTAGGTGATGTAATTCCTGCATAAAACCACGGAATAAGTATGGAATAAGTACAAGGGGAGGTTAATAAAGGAAGGATCAATTATTACCCCAATAGTGATGGAAAAGA